TTATCTTTACATTACTGGCCAAAGCGTATCTGCTAAAAGTTTAGGTGTTGCTAGCCCTCGTTGGAACCAATTACGTGTGAAAAGTTTGTTTGTTTATTTGTTATGGATTTCGCGCAAAGCTACACAAGAGCTATCCGTCCCTAATTTAGCAGTGTAAGGCTAGAAGGAAGGCAGCTAGTCATCACCACCCACCGCCAACTCATGGGCTACTCTTTTATCAACGCATAGTGGGATTGATCGACACGTTATAACGCCCCCAGGCTGAAAGGACGAGCAAGAGTTGGCGGTGGGTGGTTAATGACTAGCTGCCTTCCCTCCAGTCTTACACTGCTAAATCAGGGACACGGCTAGCGCAGATAGCCCTCGTGTAGCTTAGCGCGAAATCCATAACAAACCTAAACCTCATTTTAGTTTGTAACACGAACACGGATGTTAAATAATACCACTTCTGATTACAGATTTGAAATTGCTGAAAAACACCAATAGTTCTTTCATCCCAAGTAGTTCGCACGTGGCAGTTTAAACAAGCTGCATGTTAGAATAATGGGTGTAATATTATACAGATATACAACTGGAAGTGGTCCTACTAGTTTTTGATACTCCTATAAGTGCTCTTATTCTCTACTTTAGGGTAAAATACTAGCTCATTTTTTTTGTGGGTTTACAATTACAATAATAACTTGAAAAAGATTGAAAAGAAAAATTAGGTTTCGCTAAGGCGTATTAGGAAGAAAAAAACACCTTGCTACACTCAGCCGTTTTCATTCCCCTTTGTCCCCCCCCCCCATTAGTTGCCTATAGGGTAAAGGTAAGATAGTCACAAAAGGAGAGATGAGAACGTGGTTTTAAGATAGGAGAAAGAAGTGTCTATCGTAAAAAAAGGGTTGAGTCTAGAATTTAACATAAGAAGTACGTAAAATATAGTAGTTACACGAAACAAAAAGTAGTGAACGTTGAGTAAGATGTGAAGGAATTACAGAAATATCACGTAGTCAGACAGTAAGTGTAATGCAGGCAGGATTTGTTTGTTTTCTAATTTCGCGCAAAGCTACACTGCGCTAGCCGTCCCTAATTTAGCTAGAGGGAGGGCAGCTAGTCATCACCACCCACCGCCAACTCCTGGGCTACTCTTTTACCAACGAATAGTGGGATTGACATTATAACGCCCCCACGGCTGAAAGGGCGAGCATGTTTGGTGGGACGGGGAGTGCGAGTCGAGAGTCCTAACCACCTGGCCATGCCGGGCCTGCAGGGACGAATG